CGATTTTTCTTACTCCTTTCCAGATTTTAGCGCACCCCAGGGTCAGTGGCAGCCTCGACATGTCGAGTCGAGAATAGTCTGCATAGCCGGCAAAGTGGCGGGCAGTCGCATGTTAGGCATGTGTAGCATAGCGATGATTTAATGTATCGTCAGCGTCTTGAAAATCGAAACAAGAAAAATAAATCATACACACGCACACACGCGCGCATACACACACAAACAGATACACGGGCGAACCAATTACGTAAAACTGTATAGATGAAATTAATGTGCAGCATTCGAGTGCGACTATTATCGTATAATAAATAGTTACGTACATCTGGACTTTGAAAATGCTAATTCGCTCATTTCGCGTCTTATGCCATTCACCGTTATTTCACTTTTCTTCCTTTTTTTTTTTTTTTTTTTTGAAAAACATTTGCTTGGTTATTGGTAAATTTTCATTCAAACATAATTTTACACCCAGATTCGAATTTATCATAAACAATCGCATGCGATCTAGTTGAAAACTTATCACTTTTTAAAGTGAAAATTTAAATTTATCACTTTTTTCAGCAATCTAATTTGAAATAAACAAATAAAAGAAATGTTCATCGATTCACGAAAGAAGAAGAACATGGACCCGCGGAGTTACGAAAATCATCCCCAATCGGAGGAGCAAAGTCTCGTTCCGTTCTTAATTAAATCGCAAATTAAGTCTCTATCCCTGACCAAAAAGAGACCCAAAGGCCCAAAGTTGAAGACGCGGCCCCCACAAAGTTGGTCATCGAACGTACGAGTAATATTTAACCACAGTGCCATGAAACTTGATTTTTATTCGCATTGCGCTACGCGTCTTCCGTGTCCCAGCCGAAAGGATCCCCGCTTGAATTCCCCAGTCTCAATAACTATGTTCCTTCGAAATATCAATAACCTCGCTTCGATCCTGCAACCTCGCTAAAACGGCTTGCATTTCCGCCACACGTACAAGCCGATCGCGGCGGGATCTGGACGTGGCGGAGAGCAAGTGCGAGTTCTAATTAGCATCAAATTAGGTATTTAAGGATTTCGCGTTCGTGCGTGAACGAATTGAGGAGAACGAAAGAGGAAGAGGGGTGTGAGAGCGGGAGAAGGCTGAAAGTGGAGGAGAAAAGGGATTCGACGTTCAAAGGCGAAGAAGAAGAAGAAGAAGAAGAAGAAGAAGAAGAAGACAAGGAGGAAGCTGCGGTGGAGGAGGAGGTGGAAGAGGAGGAAGGTCGAAGGCAGAAGAAAAAGAAGACGAAGGTCTTCTACTTAGGGGTTATACCAACATAGGGACCTCTCGTGTAAATTGTAGGCCCCGGAGTCGTATAAGTGCAGCGCGCTGCATATACGACGTATACATATATTTCGTCGGCGCTCATATAAGTTAATTTTCAATCTATATGCGGGTTCTCGGATGGCGCGCGGCGACTCATCAACGAAATGAAGAAATTGAGACTCTCGTTAATATTTAATGAGCGCGAGGAGGATACCCAGGCCCATCCATGGAGACTTCGAAATATCACCTCCGCGAGCCAGCTATGTACGTGTTTACGGCTGTGTTAACGCATCCGCGATCCAGCAGCACGATTTTGCAGATAGTATCGAAATTATTTGAAGCTACACGTTTATTTTTATTGTTTTCTCCCTTCTTTTTTTTTATTGTCAGATCTAGAGTGACATTGTATTAAAGTAAAAACGAAATGTCAGTTAAATGATCTATTTTCATTGATACTATGAGAAACAGTTGAATCACACTGGATATCTGTTTTAGTATTAAAAAATAAAGTAGAATTGGAAGAAGGTAAAAATAATATATTTCAAAAATTAATTCGTTTCTCTATGAGAAATGTTCCAAGAATTTAATAAAGCCAATCGCTGTATAATCTCAATGATTGTGGAAACTAATAGGAAGACGTTCGAATGTCTTCGTACAACAGAAAGCTGTATTATATTTCATATAGATAAATATAAAGAAAATTTCTTTTGATAATTAGTCCCCGACAATATTGATAAAAATTATTACTGCATAATTAAATACTGCACAAACTGCAGATAGTACGAAAGCGAACATAATGAGTATTCTGACGATCGAGATTCCATTGCATTCAACTATAAACACTTATATTCATTTTGTTCATGCATCGGCAAGGATCGAACGATGCTCGCGCTTTTCAAAAGGATTCAATTCGTGGCCTTTCTGTTTGGCTGGCCTATTTACAATTAATTTACGAGCACGGACCATCGACGGACGAGGCATATGTGCAAACCCTTAACAAGAAGGGAGCACGTCGAGATGCAAGAAGCATCACGGAAACATCGGAGAGACGTGCCCATCCATGAATTCCGCGTATTTTCTGGGTTGTCGAAAAGCAGTCGTCGTTGCTCGCTGCCTTTTACAGCGGCGACAGCTGCGGCCAGAATCTGGCCCTCCCCTTTCATTGGCGAATCGCGACCATCCGCTTTGCGCGCTTTATCTCTGGCGACGACACGCTGCTTGAAAACCGCCGCCCGATACGTTTCGATTCGTGTCTCTTTTTTCGCTGATTAACCTGATTCCACGCGGGCACGAGACGCGACAAAGTGCCTCTCCCCGTCGAATCGGGAACGAAGAAGAAATCTTCCCCTGCCCTGCCAACGGTGACGTTTCCGGATGTCTTCTCGGCCGCGAGCGTCTCTCCCCGACATACGCTCCCTGTTCTTTCTCGATGCACGGATCTCTCGACGGTGATTTATTACTGATTAATTTGTGGGAATTTTAATTACGTAACGTGTTTGCTACGTATCACGCAGCGAGACGTGATGAGAATGAACGTTCCGTTCCGATTTTGTCAACATTCAATTCTATCGATCGATGTTAGTTTTATTCATGGTTCGTTGAGACAGTGAGATTTCGGTAATTTCAAATAAAGTAAAAGCAAAAGCTATCAATTCTAATTAATTAGAAGAATATATATATATACAAAGCGCACGCAATATATACAGGGTGAATAGAAAAGAGAAAGAAAGTAAACATGAGTCGAAAGATTAATAGTTTCAAAGTTATAAATGATTTTTTGTTTCGGTTGTTGTCAAAAAGTTAGAACACATCCGGGAATTTGTGAAAGAATACGTAATACGAAGGTGTCAAGCATGTATAGAAATAAACATACAAAGATAGTAAGGCCTACTTACATACAGTAACTCTCTAAGAAGCGAAGAAATTCGTTTCTTTCAACCGACCACAAAAAATCGTTTATAATTTTGAAACTATTAATTTTTCGACTCATGCTTATTAGAGATTTTTTTCTCACGTCTCGTTTTCTTCTTTCTACTCACCATCCTGTGCAAGACAAAATGCAGAAAGGTTTCAAAGGATAATTCAAGGATAATTCGTTTCACTAACTTTCACCTGTTTCCACCGTATCATATTTGGCAAGATATCAGCAACTCTATCCATTAAAGTAAGTCGAGAGTAAAAGGATCGCCGTAAAGTAATTAGGTCAGACTCTCTTATTACTCTCTCGCGTTATCTTCGCATAATTTTTCCATACCGCGTAATTACATACAGTGTATTACGGCCACGCGTAATTCACGATTATCGGCAATCTGTACGAGCCGTGGAACGGAAGCCCGCAAATTACTCCAACGAGATCGATTTACAGGTTGTAATAACAAGATGGTTCGGCTACTCCGTTCCCGCCGAGTGTCATACGCTCGTGGAATCGCCTTCATCTTTTTATCGCGATCCCACGGCCCACTCGTCCAACCGCCTCTGAAAATCGGCCACCATTACCACGTGAGGTAAATTTATGTTTCCGTGCGCGTGAACCTGTTCGCAAGGTGATCGAACGACAATAGCCGCCGACGATGAGTCGCGAAAACGGTGGTAGCTCGTGCACGATTAATTTGCAGACGATCGACCGATCTTTTGGACACCACGTGGACCACTAACACGACGCGACGTTGTTGCGACATTGCAGTTATACATAACGCAGTGATAAATTATTAAAAATGTGGTACAGTCGAATGTTATTACAGTGAGACTGCGATCAATTGAACCTTAGATAGCTAATGAGTGTCAATCATTTTGTATGTACATTGTGAAAAAAGAGAAAAATTGGAAGAAATATTTTTATAATTTTTCATTCTTCTGAACATTTTTTTTTTTTTTTTTTTAATGAAATTATGAATATAAGTTTTGTGTCCATAGTTGGTTCTTCTGTAGGTTTATTCTATTGTATGTAATACTGTGAAACTCGAAACATCTTCATATTTCTGAGATGAGAATGTTGCTTGTCCGCATTATAAAAATATAATCCTATCACATCTGCGATATCGTAACAACATCGTATCGAGTTT